AATATTTTTACGTTTGATGAGTAAAATTCAACAGCACATGGTACTATATCATGTAATCATGTGTATGTGTAGTTTTGAAAGAAATATTATTCTGGGATGTGAAAACAATCTTAAATAATATAGCGATAAGAAGCTTCTTTGTCTGCCTTAGGGGTGTCTGGTTTCCATGGTGATGAAACTGGCTCTTGATATCAGATTAATCAAGGTGATCTCTGGGCTTCCTGCTTCCTCATTTCAACTAACAGAGAGATGCACAGGAGAGAATCAATGGTACATTCGACAAACAGATAGAAAATTGCCCTGAGGCTTGGGTTTCTGACTGCCAGAATATGCAACAGCAATGCCATTCATGCACAGACACCATATACTCAGTGTTCATTAATGTAAGTGGCGTCCCATTTTTATCAATTCCTTAAAAAAATGTTACAAAACTTAAGAAGGATCTAGCAAAAATTTAACCACACCTCTCTGCTTTTCAGATACATTTCCTGGTTTTTCACTCTTCTAAGGTGTACTTACTCAAAACTCCCAGACCTCCTTAAAATTTTCCCCAATATCAAAAGGCTCATTGTCTCACTCCTCAAGGTGATTTGGAACTCATTTTATCAGCACAAGCCTCTGCATCTCTTGGCACCAAAGCCATGCTTCACTACATTCTCACCTGCTTGGATTTACCAGGGCTGAGCTCATGCTGTATCTCTTCCTGACTTCAGTTTCAGACATGCACTTCCTTAGCCTGTCAGGAATGCAACAGTGGCTCCCAAAGCTACTTTTACATCAGAATCATCCGGTGCAGAATACTGGGCCCCTCTCTAGAACTATGGAATCAGTATCAGTGGGAAAGAGATGCAAAGTGTTTCAATAAATATCCAATTGCTTCTGCTGCACCTCCAAAGTCAATGGTGCAGAATTTTTCTGTTCCCTGTGGATATATTTATCCACTTATTGCACCAGGTGTTTTTAAGTAAGATAAACAGATATTTGCAAATACACCTTGCAATGTTTGTTAAAAAGCAGATTCTGAGGCAAGCAAGGTCTATCACATCTAAGGCTCTGAGACAGAGCCAAGAACCTGTGTTTCAGCAAGTTTCCCCTCCCTGTATAGGAGGCCTCCTCTCCCCTCAAGAGTCAAACTGGAATATCAACAAGGACCAGGTGAGTCACTTCAATGAATGAAGTGACATCAATAGCCATATATAGGCATCCGTCAGCCTAAGAAGTTTGTTGCTATTTTGTCACCTACAAACAGGTTCATTAAAGCCTAGGTTTGAAATTTTCAAGAACTAGAAATACAAAATAGTATAATTTATCACAATTCAAGAGCATCCAGTCAGCAACCATAGGAAACGTTGTGTTGGAGGGTTTTACCCATGCACTCCTAGCTTTGGTAAATTGCAAAGTCCTCAGGAGCCTGATCACATGACTTGTTACAATACACGATGATGATCTACACAATACTGAATTGCAGCATTACATGACCCTCTTAGGGCAACCTGAGTGTCCTCAATTTTTTGTCTCACCTCCCCCTTAAGATTTGTTTAATTGGAAAGGCAGATTTACAGAGAGAAGGAGAAACAGAGAGAAATATCTTTTATCTGGTGATTCACTCTTCAAATGATCACAATGCCCCTAGTTGAGCTCATCATAAGCCAGGAGTTTCTTCCAGGTCTCCTACACAGATGCAGAGTCCCAATGCTCTGGGCCATCCTCCTCTGCTTTACCAGGCCAGAAGGAGGGAGCTGGATGGAAGTGGAGTACCTGGACACAAACCGGTACCCATATGAAATGCTAGTGCTTGAAGGTGGAGGATTAGTCAATTGAGCCATCACACAAGCCCCAATTCTTTGTCCCTTTTTAACAACTACAGCATTGAGTCATCCTCCAATTCTTGTTAATTCTGCCACCATCACTATTAATCACATAAGCCATTACCTTTTCAAGGCAAGGTTCTTATATCATGTTCATTGTATATGATCAATAACTAAACTATAGCCCAGTTAAGTTTTCTTCCTTGACTGAGTTGAGCTTTCTTGGAAGAGAATGAGCTATAATAAATTAGATCCCCATTTAATAATGATGAAATGAATGACTATGTCAATATAATAAGTTATAGTTATAAGTTATAGTTAATAGGAGGGAGATACATGCAAGGAGAAGAGGGAAAGGGGAAAAGATGCTCCCCTATGCATCTAAATCTATCATGGGAAAAAATACATCCTTATGTATAAAGCAAAAGAAATGATTTTGAACACTTCCATGGAATACAGGATTGTGGGAACTGGCCTTGTTGCTTTAAAAATGGATCTGGTAGCCTCCCTTTTCATGTTGAATAAAATGGTACCAAGTACAGCAAATAGACAGCTCTAGAGCTTACACACGTGAAACCCTGGCCACAGATGTTTCTTATGGTTCACATATGGATTTAGATATAAGGGTGAAGTCCCTGCAGCAACCAACACTAGCTGGGAACACAGATATCTCTCCCTTTATCTTGAATAGATTTTTCTAGTACTTGGGGCCAGGGCAAAAAGAAAAATAAGAAAGTTCTGCTAGTCTGTCACCAAAGAGACTCAGACCGCAAAATATATGTATATGTGCTGCCAAAGTGAGCACTAGACCGCAAAATATATGTATCAGATGTCATTTCACTCAAAAGTTGATGAAATGCAAAAGCAAACACACCAAATTACAACTTAGTGGTCAAGTAAGGAGGTCAGCACTTCCCTCAGCATCTCTGGGTATGTTAGTTTGGATGGTGACTAGAGAAGGAAACTCTCTAAAATGTCAAATCTGTAAAAGATGTCACCTAGAAATCAGCAGCAGCACTTCACAGGGATAGTAAAAACAAGCAGCACACAGCAGCATCTGTACTGGGTGACACAGGGTTCCCGTGCAGCCTCCCAATCCTGTCACTTGTTCAGGTCCACATGGTTCTTCTTTCTAGTGTGATTTTTTTCATAGCACATGGGATATTTTTTTTGAGGACAAAAAGCAGTGGAGGTCACCAAGGCCATTTGTTCTTGCTGCTGTGGGGTTGGGGGAGATGGAGCATGTGTGAAGTTAAGCCAGGGTGTGCCGCTAACACTTTGGTCACCCTCCTTCCCATCTGTGGGAGCTTTTCACACATGTATCAGAAGCCACACAAGGCTAACTGTTTTGATATTAGGTTTCTGGATATAGCTTTCAGACTCACTCTTTGTTCCACTCTTCCAGTATTCTCAGGCTGCGCCCAGCAGGCAGTGTAGAGCATGGATTTAAAACATGTGCTATTAATATGCCCAAAATTGTTGTTGCAAAGGAGGAAAAACAAACCACTCTAATAGAATCCTGCCTAGTAGATTTTATAGGCCCTATAGCAATATAAAATGAGTTATAAAATCATATCGAATTGGCTGGTGAATAAACCTACAGACATTTAAAATACGTTATTTATTGTTATTAAAGTGATGACTTTCTCACAACAGTTCTGCAATAAACCCACAGAGTTAAGTATGCATTAACAATTTAAAAAGTAATGTAACATTTTTTTTTTACATGTACCCTGGTCTGGAATACTGGTGATCATTAGCAACATCTTAATATCTGTAGAGGGACAAGAGTCTGGCACAGTGGCTAAGTGGCTGCAAGAAAAGCTGGCATCCCACTTCAGAGTGCCTGGTTGGAGTCCCAGCCACTTTGCATCAGATCCAACAGCTTCCTGCTAACATGTACCCTGCAAGCACATGATGATGGCTCAGAGTATTGGCTTCAGGCTGGTCCAGACACGGCTGTTATGAGCATTTGAGGAGTGAACCAGCAGGTGGAAGATCTCTATCTCTCTCCATTTTTCAAATAAAAATGAAAATAAATGGATAAAAGTTAAAATCTGTAGAAACTTCATGTTTTAACATTTCCTTACAATTTTATGTTTACTATTTTTCTTATGAATGGAGAAGGTCACTATTATTCTCATTTTATAGTTGTCATATGGAGATAGTCATAGTATCTACCCCCAAAAGGATTCCTTCAGGAATTCATTAGATCATCCACATTAAGTACATACAGTATTTGGCGTATTACTTCCTGAGTACTCACAACATGTTAGCTATTACTAATATACAAAAACACTAGTGGCTATAATAGGGCTACCAAAAATATACTTCAAATGAGCCAATCTGACTTAGGTATTCCATTAGAACGGGACAGTTCTTTCAGAGAATTAGGATGCCTCTATTTAACATAACTGCTCCACCAGACTAGAATGTTCTTTTCCTCCCTGATCGTGACTCTGAAGCTTCTAGTTGGCTCCGTGGTCTTTAAACGAGCCAGCATGTCCTCCACAGGTAACCAGTCTCCACTGTTTCCCAAGAATGGATCATATAAAATCATGCATTCCAACTTGCTCCAATCCATACCATATCACAATTGCCTGCTTCTATGTCTGCACTTCCTGAGGGCAATGATCATGTGTGTATTTGCATACTACATTTTTAGCACAACGGAGTACACATGATGCCAGAATGTAGTGGGTATTCAATAGACATCTGCAGCATGAGGATGTGTGCTATCCCCATTCAGGTTGGTGACTAGAAACACAGATTCTGATCATGGGTGAGGACAACTGCCGCCCAAGCGAGAAAGCAGCAGCCAGTTACAGAGACAGAGGAGGATGATGGTGGTGATGAGATGCGGCATCCTAGAAGCTCTGAGTCACGGTCCGCACACAGGAGGGGCAATCAGCTCCACAGAAAATCAAGTTGCATCTGGTCACGGAAGCTCCAGCAAAGGCACAGCCACACTCACTGGTTCTGGATATTCTGGATCCCTACAAAGCAGCCCTGCAGCATGAGGAACGAGAGTCTGGGTGAGCTGCACCTGTTTTTCACTCATCAAGGTGCAGGAACTTGGAAACCAGCACAGCCCTTGATCCCAGTCTAAACAGCCTTTCCATCCCAAGTTTTAACAAACTGCAGGACATTTTGTGAGAGCCCAGTCTGATCCAGGAGTCCCTGAATACTTACCAGACCGTTGGAATGGGTTGTGCATGTTTGGTCCAATACAGAATTGCAATGTTGAGGAATAAACTTGGAGACTTTGGGGACAGCCGATGGCAAATGAATTGAAATGTTCTGATTTGCTACAGCAGCTGCATCATAGGAAGGGATGACTTTGGAATAATAACTGACAGCATGGAAGGAATTGAGAGCGAGCGCTGTGCTGGGAATTCGAGTTTTACACAGATCACCAACAGCATTCTCTGCAGTGGAGCTTGACTGACCTTTCATGAGAAAGAAAAACAAGTATCCATCAATACTGTCTACGTAATTGTGCAGCTCTGCATTCTGCACTCTGCATTTAAGAAAACTGCCTTCTGTTTCATTTACTTGTGTCAAACCACTGTGCTATAGCTACACTCCAATGTTGATAGGAGAGCAAACTTCTAGATTAGTGCTTGTGTGTAATTAAAACAGATTTTTAGAAGAGCAAATCTCTTTGCCGTTTGAGGTCTGTAGTGGTTTATGTGGGGGGTGGGGGCGTTGTGTGCAGGAGCGTGCGTGTGTGTGTGTGTGTGTGTGTGTGTGTGTGTGTTTGGTTTTCCTTATAGACAAAATGGACCATCCTATGGAACAAGAAAGAACATAGAAAAGAATAATTCAGTTTAGTCACGACTGTGTGTGTTGATTTTGCATCACTGAAGTGGATTATACCATAATACATCTACATCCTGCACAGTAACTACAAAATGCTAACAATGTAACCCCAAGCAACACTGTGAATGTGTATTTTCTTCCAGACATTAGTAGTAATGCAAGCAAAATAACATAATTTTATGTCTGTGTTAAATACTAATGTCTCCAAGATATTTGTGAAAAGTAGTTTAAAGACATATGCTCAAGATCTATGAGAAAAAACACAAAAAAGCAAGCTGATGATGCCTGCACTGATTTGTGTTACAGAAAAGGCTTAACACAGAAACCTTGTGACTGTGGGATGGTCATGTAAATTCTCCACCTCGCAGTTTCCTGATCTGGGTAGTGAAAGTGAAGTTTTGAAGACTTAAGCTCATTGCAACTCTTTCGATCTTTCAGAATCAATTTGGCAACATGCATTAAGAGCTATATATATGTTCATGTTCTCTGTTCTCTCACACACTTCCCATATTCCAGCCCAAGGAAAGGTCTAAAATAAAAGAAACTATATTAAGGAAAGCATTTCCTATCACACAATGTTCAAAGTAACTCTCTACTCAAACTGCTAAATATAGCAACTGGATAGTTAAAAAAATTACCCAAACACATGATAAATGATTAAGGCCATTACAATGGTGATGGCACCATTGTATGACACAAAGTTAAGTAAAATAATCAGGAGACAAGATGTCCAGTAAGGTTACCATTAGGGAAAAACACACCTCAACAACGATGTGAAGGAAATACACAATGAACAGTTACTATCTTTGTATATTACAGGATCCATATTGCTTTTCAAATGAAAAAAATATATATACATTCTCATAAAAATGGATGTAACTGGAGACCATTATGCTTAGTGAAATAAGTCAAGTCCCCAAAAGACAGATTTGTGGTAACTAATAACAGAGTGTCAAAAAATGTAATGTAAATGAGTGAAATTGACCTTTGGGAATTTGATTAATATAAATAGCCTGTGTGTATATTCTTTAGGAACAGTGCTTTCTACTAGCTGTTAAATTCTTTATTTAATTGAAGATTATACTTGTGATTATAAAGTAACTTTATAGTATACTATAAAAGTTGAAAGAAAAGAGGAGGGAGGCCATGAATGAGGGAGGATAGGTTAGGCAGTTACATTCTTAAAACCATATAGATGAAAAACATGAAATCTGTTACTTTTGTAGGAATTAAAAATTTTAACAGATTACAAAAAACTAAACTAGGGAGGTTGGTGCATTGATCACCAAGCATTCCTCTGATTTGAGCAAGCCCTAAGGTTACAGTCCTGGTACAACTGACTCTTCCCAACAGCAAGATTTTAGCTGCTACAATACCACAGAATACTGGGGCAAGGCCAGGTCTGAACTTACTCCATGATCAGGATTTCTCGGAGTTTCTGAAGAATATAAATAGCACTGTCTGTGCAAGAAGTAACTTTGACAGCCATCTGCCTGTGGCCTGCCCTCCATCTGATTTAATCTGGGCTGATTTAATCAGTCCACATCACCATCGGCCAAAGCTACTCAAAGAAGTGTAAGCACAGCTCATGGCAACTTTTTTCCTATTTTCTCCCCCTTTTCCATGAGCCAGGAAAAAAATCTAAATGTACTAGTAAAAATACCTTGAGGTTTATTTGATCATATGAAAAAAGAAGCCATGATCTAATTTTGGCTTCCTTTTCTTTTGACCTTAGACATTAGCCCTAATAACTTCATTTGTTCCTGTAACCTCCACTGAATCCCCAAACACACGTGACAGCTTTACTGCAGAACTGAAATGACTACATGAACCGTTTTTTTGTTTTTGCTCTTGTGAGCCTCTCTGCCACTAATGTGGAAGCTCTGTAAGTACCAGAACTGCATTTTGTTCTCCCTTGTATCCTCATCTTCCTCATCTTTGAGCAGGGCCATGTAAACTGAAAATAAGAAACTAGACTTGAGGTTAATTCACGGAAGATGCAACAAAACACACTCCCTTCCCTGCACTGGGACGGTACTGGGTGAGAACGGAATTCCTCAAGGAAGCCAGTACAAGAGTCACCTAAAACTAACAGGTGGTAGACATGGGCTTTCCTATCTTCTAGCACCTAACACTTGGGTTAAGAGAGCCATACCTTATAGGCTTCTCAAAAGAAAGTAAGTTACAGAGATACAAAAGTGATCCACTGGTAACCATGCCTTAACCCTCTGGTTCTATTTTTTTCATCTTATTTTTGTAACTACATGGGCATCCTAGACTTACACAACCCATTTGATGCCCCCTGCCCACACCCCCAGAAGCCTCTCCACGAGTAAACATGTTCTGCAATGTCTGTAGAGTATTTGTTGAGCAGCTATAGTATGCTGCTCATAGTTCATGGTATTGTAACTACAGTAAGGAATACAATAAGCAAAAAGCTTTGCCTTTGTGGAGCTGACATGCTGATGAGAGAGGACAGATAATAAACAACACACACAGGGAATTTCAGCAGTGCCGTGAAGTGGAATGCATCAGAGTTGTGAATTGAGGTAAATACGTTGCCATGCTGATATTCCTCCTACAGTCAGCACTAAGCTAACAGGAATAGATTCAGTACTCAGTGCTGGCTCTTTCTGCATCCAGGGATGCAACAACCTGCAAATCAACAAATCTCAAGAAAAAAAAAAGTATCTCACTTGGAATATGTGAGGGTTTTATCATTTTTCCTTAAATAACACAATATAACAAATCTGTGTACAGCAGCACTGATGTTGAGTCAGATATTTTGAGTAATACAGTACATAAGCATATTTACAGGTATCCCACAAGCAGTAAGTCCTGTGCAATCATGGTAAGAGTTCTGAGCAACCACTGAATCTGGAACTTGATGGAATGGGAGGGGTCCTAGAACCAGTCTCCTAGGATACTGACAGATGACTTTATCTTTCTCCCCTTTAGCGTCTATTCATTTAGTACATAAAGTCATCAGCTGTTTATCATCCATCAGTAAGATATGTTCTCTGGGATTATGGTCCAGGTGGGGTCTATTTCTGGCATGACACAATTCAAATAACCATATCTACCTGTGTGTGTCAGGATGACAATCAGCAGGCCCCATGGAAGGATCTTTCCAGGCTACAGTAGGGAATGCATAGGAATCCAGGGGTGAACCAGGGAACCCCGCAGAGAGCAGTGTAGGCAGCAGGCAGCACTAACCTCTCACAGCTTCATCCAAGCAGCCCTCTGCAGCCTCAGCAGGATACACATTCAAGCACTTGTTGGTCAGGAATTTGATGCTTCTCATGGGTGAGAAATTGCTTGTCAGTGCACTGTTTTCCCTTGAAGGACATAAAAAAATACACATTTCTCTGGGAAGATGATGTGAATCTCTGAGTTCAGTTGCTCTCAGTTCTAAACAACACTTGCAAACCTCAACTAGATATCATTTACATATGACAATGAAAAGCTGAACAGGATCTGCAATGATTTGTTAAGGACATGTCAGAACCAGAACAGCAGAATTTTGCTTTGCATATATTAATACATCTAAATGATAGGCAATTATTGGGAACATCACATAATGGACGAAGGAATTTCTTTACTGCCTACTAACTGCAGCTCCATGTTAATGTCCCTGGGAAAGCAGCAGAAGATGGCCCAAGTGCTTGGACCCCCTTCACTCACATGGGAGACCTGGAAGAAGCTCCAGGCTCCCAAATTCAGACCAGCCCAGCTGTGGTCATTGCAACCATTTGGGGAATGAATCAGTGGGTAGAAGATTTTCTTTTTTCCTTTATTTCTCTCTCTTTTTCCATCTCTATAAATCTGCCTTTCAAATAAAATTTAAAAAATTCAGAATTAACAAAAGGAGATACAACGATGAATCCAGAACAAGACAAAGATATCCATTTTCACCAAAAGAGCAGTTAGGGAGGAGAAAGAAAGGACAGTGGAATTGAAAGGAAAAAGTCAAAATACCCATGTTTGCAGATGATATGATGCTACAAAGAAAAGACAAATACTTTACCAAAAAGCTACTAGAACTGATAACCAAATCAGTAAGATGGCAGGATATAAAAGTTAGTGATCTTGCTGAAAGCAAAAATCAAGAAAGCAATTGTACTCATAATAGCTACCAAAATCATTCAAATATTTAGGGAAAAATACTTTCAAAGAAGTGAAAAATGTCTCCAATAAAAATGATAAAACTTCAATGAAAGATATAATTAAGGACACAAAAAATCCTTTACATAGATAAAAGTTTCCAAAGGAAAATTTTTCCTTGCTCATAAAATTAACATTGTTAAAATGTATTATCTAAGGTAATCCACAATGCAATCCTTACCAAAATATCAATTACATTCTTCACAGATTTAAAGAAAGAAATTTACAACTCAAATGGAATCATAAAAGACCTAAAATAGCCAAAGCAATAACAAATAAATAAATGAAAGTTGATGTCGCATCATAATACCTGATTTCAAAGCACACAGCAAAGCTATGGTAATTAAAGCAGCATGGTACTGGCTTACAAGCATAACATAGATCAGTGGAACAGAACAGAAAGACCAGAAATTAAGCCACATACATACATACACACAGCCAATGATTTTTTTTCACAAAGGTCCAAGAGCATACATTATAGAAAAAAATGTCTTTTCAATAAATGGTGCTGGCAGAATAGGAAATACATATGTGGAAAAGTGAAATTTAGATCATCACCACATATAAATATCAACTTAAGATGGATCAAAGACTTCAATGTAAGACATGAAACTATGAAACTGCTAGAAAGAAAGCACAGGAGAAACCCTTTCAAGACATTGTTGTAAGTTATAATTTCCTGGATAAGACTCAAAAGGGCCAACTAGCCTATAATCGCTCAGCCTGTACTTACTGGCCAGGCTCCCTATTTGCTTCTCCTGGACTTTACTAGGTAGGATGCAGAGTTAAATTCTTCCTCACTCACTGGGCTGTTGGGGATTTCCCTGCTCACCGGCCTAAAACTTTTCTACTCTTCAATTGTTAAAATGCAAAGTTCTGTAAAACCATGCTTAACCACTATGTACTGCAAAGTTTAAATTGTGGCTTAATTTTCTCCCAAAAAAACTATCAATCTATGATTGTAAATGCTAAACAAGATGTAACTGCACAGAAACTTTGATGTTAAGTTTGTACTCAGCTGATATAGATATAGATATAGATATAGATATAGATATAGATATAGATATAGAAATGATGGATGTTAATGTTGATCCACTGTTCCTGTGCCACTCTGATTTAGGTTAAACTCAAAAACATGTTAGCTTGGGAGAAAAAAAAGAATGTTTGTAGCAGCTGGTTCTATATATAATAAAATTGAGATGTCAAGGAAGTAGTTACAGGATTTGGTTAAGAACTTGCATTTTGTAGCATTTGTCACTCAATACCATGTTAATTAACTTTATGATGGTGTTAATTTCAATGTTTTTTCCTGTTGTTGAAGTGTTGTGGTTGACATCTCATTGGAGGAGATGATACTCTGCCAGCTCTACTTTCAAACCAATGAAACTGCTGAATTTATCTGGACAGTAAGATGCTGGACTCTTCATATGGTCCAAACCCACAATGAAGGAATCATGACTGGATATGATCTGTTCTACTGTAACAAAATGGAGGAATTCAACATGGGGGGAGGGCTTGGGGAGCGGCTGGGGAAATCCCAGAGCTTATGAATCTGTGTTGTAAAATTATATAAAATGAAAATAAAATAAAATTTAAAAAGTGCTGATAACAGAAGAAAAACTAGACAAATGAGATTATCACAAATTCAGATGCTTCTGCACAGCAAAGGAAACAGCCAATAGAGTAAAGGGACATTCAACAGTGTGGGATGAAATATTTTGCAAGCTCATTATCTGACAAAGGATTCATATCCAGAATATGTTAGTAACACAAAAAAGTGGACAACAGAAAAACAACCAAACTACGTAAGAAATGGATAAAGAATAGCAATAGACAGCTCTTGAAAGAAGAAATATAAATGGCCAATAAATATATATGAAGAAAAAGCTCACCATCACTAGCCATCAGGAAAAAGCAAATCAAAACCACAATGAGGTATCACCTCACACCTGTCAGAACAGCTATCATCCAAAAGACAGAGAGCCGTATCAACGTTGGCAAAGATGTGGAGGAAGGAGAACTCCTATATACCATTATCGGGAATGTATCTAGCAATCACACAACTTGTTATTATTCAATATATGCATTCATCAACAAAGAGGTATCTGTTTCACCATGTTTATAGCCATGCTCATCAAAACTGAGATACAGAATCAGTAAAGACATTCATCATCAAATAGGGAAAGAAAAGGTGGAATATTGGGGCTAGCACAATGAGTTAAGCTACTACCTGTGATACTTCTATACCGTATGGGCGCCAGTTCATGACCTGGCTGCTCCACACCAGCTCCCTGCTAATTCTCCCAAGAAGTCAGCAGAAGATGCCTTCAGCACTTGGAACCCTGCATTCATGAGGGAGATCTGAAAAGAGCACCAACTTCTGGCTTCAGCCTGGTCCAGACCTGGTTGTTGTGGACATTTGATGAGTAAATCAGCAGATGGAAGATTCTCTCTCTCTCTCTCTTTTTCTCTCTAATTATGCCTCTTAACTAAATAATGAATAAATCTTTAGAAAGTTGGAAAATGTATTGTGGAACACTAGTCAGCTTTACAAAAAAAATGAGTGACATCCTATCATTTGTTGCAAAGTGAATGGAACTGAAGGACACCATGTTGAGTAGAATAAGTCAAACACAGAAAGCCAAATCCTGTAGTTAATCCCTTACATGTAAGAGTTAAAAGAACAAGCAAAATAAATTTCAATACAGAATGTTGATTACTGGAAGCTGCCATGCATGGCAGGGAAAAGGGAGTTTGGATTAACAAAGAAAAAAGACAGGGGAAACCAGATGTGGTTCATCAACCGTGACAAATATACTAATAAAAGATGTTAGTGGAAATGAATGAGTAGTGTATGGGAACTCCTTGTATTATCAGCCTCACAATTTTTGTTTTGTAAACTTAAAAATGGACTAAAATAAAATGCTAAAAAAATGATGGAAGGACTGAGAATCTGAGACTCTGGCATGTGTCACTGTGATGAAATGACACGCATCTGAAATGGGAAGAGTGCAATGATCCTTGACAGACAGCCACGCTTTCATCACAGTTGGATTTAGTTCCTATCTGCACATGTAGTACTGGCAGGAGGAAAACAATGAGCAGAGCTCAGACTACCAAGGGTTCTCACCATACCTTTGTGCCATGACTGAGCCTGGGAAGGAGAGCTGAGCGGGCATTTGTTTCTTAGAAAATCTCCTACTATTCTGAAGGATTTCTGTAATCTGAAAAACAAATGAGCAACAACAAAAAAATAGAGAGATGGATAGACTGAAATAGATTTGGATATACTTCTCATATCTACTAAGACACACTGACAATGATAAACATTAAAATTATAGCATGACAGGTTAGCCTATCATGACGAATTCAAAACGTGTGGAGTTGAATACCTGGTTCATGATGGCTGGCGGGATCTTCTCCCGGACATACTTCACGTAATCAACAGTTGCTTCCAGAATGGAAGCTGCATCATTCTTTCTCCCTTTGACATAAGGCAACAGAGAACGCAGCTGCTCACAGCAATACTTGATTCGCTCTCTGATCAGAAAATAAAGGATACATTAGTCTCATCTTCTTCCTTAAACATGAAGACAAATAAGCCTCCTCCTGGATTTGATGGTAAAGAAGTAGCCCCCTTCTCTTCTACTCTCATTTTCAGAAAAAGGCCATGTCCCAATAGGCCAGCATCCCTCACATCTTCTGGAATCAAAGCCTCTGGGTCTGCACAGGAACTTTTCCCAAGATACCACCAAGCACAGTCCCTGTATTTTCATTCCAGGACCAAACCACTGCAACAACACAGGAGGCCCAGACAGTTGGACATGGCCTAAGCCTCCCTCATCCCCACTAGTGGAAGTTTGCAGACCCTATGCCCTTGGAGGAGAGAACCACATTCTACCTATGAATCCCTTAGCAAATATCACTAGACACTTAAAAGTAAGAGCAGTCAGGTTGTGCATGTTACTGGGGTTGGGTCACATTTCCAACAGGAGATCAAATAGCATCTTGTAATACACTGGCCTTACAGACAACTCTGGTCTGAGTCCGAGGAATATACAAGGTTGTTTCCTTTACATGAGGTAGGAATGGACCCAAGAAATAAACCAATAGGCCAATGAGAGCAACACCCAGATCAATAAGCTAAATCTCTGATGCTTATCAAGGAAAATACATAGAACAACGCAGATTTCCTTGATTGAAACCCTTGGTGTCTTCATTTATCCACAGATTTAATAGAGTACTAAACATCTTGTTCTAGATACTACTTTGATATACACAGGCTCAACTCTTGGCTCTGGTTCTTTCTAGCTGGGGCATTGGGCTAATGACTACACCTCTCTGAACCTTGGAATGACAATGACATTAAATAAGACATGTAGTTGTTATATAATAAGCCAGTGAGTGACTTCAATGTTTTAGAACCGTGGTGCTTTCATTGTTCTGCAGAGGTTCCTCAGGAAGTGTTCTGGAAGGAAAAGGATGGAAGAGTCAATAATCTCAGGAATGAATGGAAGGCTCTGGAACTTTTTATAGCCTTGATGAGGTGCTTTCACATACAAAGTTCCAACCTAATGAGCAAATATTTTATACAAAGATGCCAATTACAGCAGCATGAGTAAAACATGGAAAACCATGAACACACACACCACAGGGGGATGCTTTCGTGAGCTATTGTGCATTAGTTCTCACATAGCAGTGATACAAAGTTGAGTGGGAAAGAAGTGAGATACAAACAGAATATAAAATTTGATCCTAACAATTAAAAGACCAAAATGATACATAAAATGTTTGAAAGCAGAAAATTAGGCCACAATTATTTCAGAATGGCTATATGATGAATAAATATGGATTCCTTTTATTTTCTGTTTTCCAAGCAGTTCTGCTAGGCATTTATTACTTCCATGATGAAAAATCTGATTGAACACATTTTCCAGCATTCTATGGGAAAATGTTCAACTACACAGAAGAGTTAAAAGAATTATCACACGGCAGACATTTCTGTATCTACAACTGAGGGTCTACAAGTAACATTTCCTGTAATTGCTTTGCCATACATGTATCATCCCACAGTCCCCATCTCAGCTCATTTTATTTAAACAGTTTAAAATAAATTATAGGCATACTACACTCCACCCTGAAGAGCCGAAGCTCAAATTATTTTATTTTGGGGCATAAGTTAAAACAACCATATACATTTTAAGCATACAATTTATGAGTCGGAACACGTGTAACTTTGTAACACAACCTCTAATCAATAATATTTGAACTCTAGAAAGTTCCCTGCATTGCTTCTAGTCAATGTAATGTCCATTTGATAAAAATCAACCACTTTTTTGGACATTTTTCCTGTCCCACATCTTTTCTGGCAATCCTCAAACAGTATACAAAATACACATTAAATTTTGCAGCACACACTCATTTAGAGACCTTCTGCTACTCAGCATGAAATTTTTCAAGTTTGTGTGACTGTCTAGCAGTTTGTTCCTTTTTGTTGAATGACAGTATTCCATAAGGTAAACATGCTGCTGCTCATTTATCTAAACATCTGGGTTTGTTCTGATTTTTGGTCATTATGAATAATTTGTATTTTGTGTGTGAATGCATGCTTTAACTTCTCTTGTGTAAATATGTAGAAAAAGGAATGATGGATCATTTAATAAAACTTTCAAAAGCCAGCTTAACTTTTACCAAAATAGTAAAATGTTGCACTTCCACTATGAACATCTGACTCCTTATCATTCCAAACCCTGGGCACTATTTCATATTGCCAATGGTTTTAATTTTAGCATTTTGGCCTGTTACATGTGGTCGTACCTCATTATGCTTTAATTTCCAGTTCCCTGACAACTCATACTGCTCGGTACTTTCCCCTGTGCTTATCAAGCACTTGCACAACTTATTTTCCAATATATTCAAATATTTTATTTACATTTAATTGCACTGCAGGTCTTTTTATCATTGAGGTTTTGGAGGTCTAATATAGCAGTATTTGTCAGATATCTGTTTTGCAACTATTTTCTCTGAGTTATACATTTATTTCCTTAAAGGTATTTTTGAGAACAAAAATTCAAATTTTGATGACCATAACTCTTCTCTCTTCAGTGGTTATTGATATGTGTACATTATCTAAAAGATATCTGCCTTTAACAGGGGAAGACACTACCCTGTATTCTTATAGAATGTACTGTCCAATATAGACATCAGCCCACTGAGTTTACTTCAAATTAAATTCTCTACACTTTAACATCTGCATTTCAAAAATGCAGTAATTACATGTTGCTACTGGTTACTGTATTGGATGATGCAACCATAAGCAATTTCTAACACTGAATAAAGTCCTATTAAAAGTTCATTTCAGGGCCCGGCGCGGTGGCGCAAGTGGTTAAGTCCTCGCCTTGCACGCCCGGGATCCCATATGGGCGCCGGTTCTAATCCCGGCAGCCCCGCTTCCCTTCCAGCTCCCTGCCTGTGGCCTGGGAAAGCAGTCGAGGACGGCCCAAAGCTTTGGGACCCTGCACCCGCGTGGGAGACCCGGAAGAGGCTCCTGGCTTCGGATCGGCATAGTATCGGCCCGTTGCGGCTCACTTGGGGAGTGAATCATCGGACGGAAGATCTTCCTCTCTGTCTCTCCTCTCTGTATATCCGCCTTTCCAATAAAAAATAATAAAAAAAAATAAATCTTTAAAAAAAAAAAAAAAAAAAGTCCATTTCAGAAGCCTTATATTTTTAGGCTATGATCCAGCTTTAGCCAAAGTTATTTTTTTCCAACATCGCTAATCACAAGGGAAATGCAAATCAAAATGATAATGAGATGTGGCTTCACCCTAGTTAAAATGACTATAATCAAAAAGACAAACGGAAACAAGTGTTGATGAGGATGAGAAGAAAAGGGAATACTTTTATATTGTTGACAGGAACACAAATTAATATAGCCACTATGAAGAACAGTAGGGCCAATCTCCAAAAATTTTAAAATACAACTATCCTGTAATCCAGCAATCCCACTATGATACAGATACCTCTAAAGGAAAAGACATAAGCCTTTTGAGGAGTTATTTAAATCCCATGTGCACTGCAGCACTATTCACATCTGCTAACATATGGAACGTAAACGTCTATCAATGTATGCATGGATTAAGGGAACACGGCTCAACTTCAAGGAGGAATTTTGGTTATTTACAACAACATGGATGAACCTGGAGGATATTATTCCAAGGGAAGTAAGTCAGACACAGATAAATACTGCATCATTTCACTGACATGTGGTATCTAAAAGGTTAATCTCACAGACATGAAACTACAAAGGTACTCAATTACAGCAGACTGAGGATATTAAGAAGGGACAGTGGACATGCGTTTGTCAAAGGATTCACAAGTGTAGGCAAAGCAGAGGTATACATTTCTAGAAATCTGACAGCAAGGCAATTACAGTTACTGAAGACATTAAATTCTTCAACAAATATAAAGAGAGTAGATGTTGTGTGATTTCACCAAAAAAAAGGTAACTATGTAAGGTAACACATTTATTGATTAGCTAGAATTAATGATTCTACAATGTATATATATATATATATATATATTTATATGTGTAAGTTCAAAATACACATGATCAAAATACAGTATTATCTATGACTTCAAATTATAAGTCATAACTTTCCATTTCTAAATATTTTCTCTGAATCGATAAAAATACATTTAATTTTTGTACATTGATTTTGTATCCTGAGACTCTGCTACATTTACCTTTCAGTTGTTTTATAAATGTCTAGGATTTCATACACACAAAAAATCAAACAACCTCTAAGTAAGGGAGCTTGGCTTCTTTGTAATACGTGTGTGTTTATTGTTTTCTTTAACATGTGCAAGGGATAGAACTATTTATATGATGAAGAACAGACATGGTAAGAATGGGCATTTTTGCTTTCTTGATCCTTTTAAGGAACAGACAAAACGATGTCAGTGCAATATTAGCTATAGACTTCTAATAACTGCCCTTTCACACCTTGAAGAGACTCTATTCCATATCCATGTGCTGAAAACTTTTCATTTTTCATCATGAAGAGATACTAAATATTGCCAAGTACTTTATCTGAATCTGTTGATCATGTGGTCTCTCATTTTAATGTAGTAAATTGCATTGGGCAATTTTTAAATGTTACACCTGCCTCGCTTTTCTAATTGGATTTGACAAAATTGTTTTCATTTGACTATGTATACCAGGAGTTGCCTGTGACATAGATAGAAAGATAAATTTTTAAATAATGTGTCTCCCAGGGTTAATATTTTGTTGACTTCATGAAATGGGTTAGACATGTTCACTCATTTTAAGAATTTGTTGAACACTGGTTTTATTTCATGAAATTCTCAATAGAATTCATTGGTTAAAAACCATGGGGACAAGATGTTTTGATCAGGTTTTTACCAACTGCTACTGCTTAAACATTTAGATTTTTCTGCTTCACCTGGGATTAGTTTTCGCAAATTGTATTTTTAAAGAATTTGTCCCTTTTATCTAAGTCATAAGATTGATTGGAACG